TGCTGGGGTTCTGACGGCGCTGTCTTTTTTTTTTTTTTTTTTTTGCCTTCTTTCCGGGTTTCTCAGAAAAAAAAAAATCTTTCTTGCAGAATTGGGTATAAGAACCCCCCCCCCCCCCCCCCCCCTTTTTCAAATCCCACAATCCTTTTTTTTGGGGGGGGGGGGGGGGGGAGGGGAAGAAACACAACCCCAGGACTCAACCCTCCCACATGTCAAATTAAAAGGGAAAAGGGTTGTCAATAAAGAAAAAAAAAAATGAGATGAGAAAAATGATAAGAAAAGAAAAGAAAGAAAAAATCAATCAAATCCAGAGGCAGCGATGAGTAACGAATGGACGAAAAGTATAACTAATAACCAAAAGAAAGAGAAAAAACCGACCCACCGTAATTCACAGCAAAAACTAAAACAAAAACAAAAACAAATAGTAGCAACAGCCCACCAGCGAACCGCAACGATTTTTCAGTTTGTTAAAAACAAAACAAAACACCCTGGGGTAAATGAGTAATAGTATGGCGAGAAGGGGGAGACAGAACGCGAGGGGAACGGACGAAGTGAGAGACTATGCACGCGCCCAAACGGGATTAAAGAGCAAAAGGAAAAGAAAAGTAAAGGATAATAAAGGAAATTAACAATAATTCCGCACAACCCCGGCCCCTGCCATCCAGTAAATTACGGCATTGAAAAAAAAGGGGCAAATAAAGAGGGTGAAAAGCAAGAGCAAACATATATGCGAATGCGAACTCGCCGGTACAATGGGAGAGGGAAGACTGACCAAGACACAAAGAAAGCAAGGAACCAACTTTCAGAGGGGTGAAGAACAAGCAAAAATCGGAAAGACATGGTGTGAGTGAGAGATGGATTGGAATAGGGAAGAAACGCAGGGAAAAAAAAAAAAAAAGAGAGCAAAAACATCCCTCCCATCGTAAAATCAGTGAAAAGAATAGGAAATCGAAAAGGACGAGTTCAATTTCAACTCGCAAAGGGGGAAAAAAAGAAAAAACCTAACATAATAATCCGATTTATCATTCTCTTCTCACCCATCCCAGAAAAGGAAAAAGCCCCCAGAGAGTGAAAATCAGCCACCTGAAATTTAAATTTTGGTTTCTTTAAAAGAGATGACGAAAGGAGAGATCGAACGGTCAAAATGCAAAGATGACAAAAAGATCAGCGATTCAACCTGTTGCAGCCGTATTCCATGACATCGACGCCGGGGGTCCCGGCTGATAGCTGGAAGCATGCGCCGAGTGGGTAGGGCCGGGGAAATATTGTTGTTGCGGCGGCTGCGGAGGCGGCTGGTGTGATTGTTGAGGCTGTGACGGCGGCTGCGATTGAGGTTGTTGAGGCTGGCGGTCCCCATTATAGTAAGAAACGTTGGCCACCAAGGAACTCGATTCCCGTCTCGTTGCAGGATTGTAGGGCGGATGCTGTCCAACGTTTTGTTGATCTGCTGAATCCATCCCGCCAAAGGTTCCTCGCGAGTAGGCAGAGCTGGGGTCGACGGCGCCCGAAGACGAATCTGGGGCCACATTGCGCGGCTGTAATGCCGGATTTCGGTAAAGGCCAGCACTACTGGGTTGTTGCTGCTGCTGACTCCTATCAGCCAGGACAGTGTTGAGGGAAGAGGACATCGTGGAAGCAGACAAGGGTTGCTGCATGCTGGGGTTCATCGGGTTATAGCCGGGCGGGTATGATGCAGAGCTCCGGAAAGGGTAGCTGTCTTGCTTTGGAGGAATGTCGGCTGAATTGGAAGTATTTGCTAGGTATGGATTGGATGCCGGATGGCCTGCCAGCCCTGCTGCGCCAACTGCATAGCCAGGGGGTGCACCGTAGGCGGGTAGTTGGTAATATGACGGTCCGGAACTCGGTACCGCGTACGCCTGCGCGCCGCTTAGTGTAGAACGATACGCATATAGGGCGGAAGTCGGGTCTGCATCTTCCAGTGTAGCGTGATCAAAGTCGTCAATTGGGGCACGGAAGCTCTGCTTGGTGGTGAGTTCTGCGCGTGGACGTATATATCTCAAACTCTCGTGCTGCATCGGGGTATGGAGGCGGTTTGACATGACATCTTCAACACTGTAATATGATACCAAATGATGGGTCACACCCGACACCGTCACGCTCATGGTTTTCTTCACTAATCCGGAATCCTTGAACCCGTAAGAGTCCACGAGGGAGCCCACCAGTTGTCTCTCCAGCTCCGATTGCTGGTTCCGTTCTCCATATGGAGCTGCGCCTGGCGATGTTGCGGGCGAGTATGTAGTTCCATTGCTCTCTTGGGGTCGTGGGTACGGTTCCCCTGGTCTCCCAGTTGATGTTGGGCGCCGATTGCCCTTTTTCATCGCGCGCTTCTTCTCACCCGGAGGAAATGGCTTATCAAGTTCACGGTAGACGAGGAAATTGCCCAGGATGCGGCTCGGGCTCCAGGTAACGCCGTCCGTCCATCGCTTGATACCAGACGCATTTTCTTCGTAGATAAAAACACTACCACTTTTCACCAGTTGACTTCTCTCTCGATCGTGGGGACGTCGTGGGACATGGTGGAGGATACCTGTGAGACAGGCTTCGAAGAGGATCAGCGCATCTTGTGTCGTGGCGACATAGCCGGTGAATGTCGGCTCTAGTACTGCAGCTGTGCCGTTGCCCATGTTGTGCGACCAGCTGCAGGAAGGAGTTAGTTTCGACGATAAGGGAGGGCTAAAAAGCTAACACCGCCGGAGGTTTCTCGCTGCGGAGGAAACGGGGTAAGGTTGTAAGCTGCAAGGGTAAAGTTTTGCGCGCTGACAGAAAAGTATCGAGAAACACAAAGCCAAGCTTGTCTTGTTTGCGCGAAAATGCGACAGAGTTGGTGTTTATCGAAACGCAAATCAGAGGAGAGAGCAAATAAAATAGAGGGAGCGATTAATTTTATTTGATTATTATTCGTTTTTTTTTTTTTTTTATTGAACGGATACGGTATGGGAGAAAAAGAAAAGAAAAAAATCCGGAGGGTATGTGCGGACAGCCCGTCAGACGGGCCAAAAAGGCTTATGTAGGACAGGATTAACGTGGTTGTGTGAGCTCTCCCAGTTTTCGAACGATTGAAAAGAAGTGATGATGGCTTCTTTGAAGAGCAGCAAGGGACCCTCCCCGCGCAAAGGAGCTGCAAAGAGAGTTTGAGGGTTCTATGGATCGACAGACACAACGCGGGTCCAAAACTTTTTTTTGACCTTTTTCACTTTTCGGAATGGAGGGGCTCGATCTTGAGGAAGAGAGTTTACTGCCACAACCCCAGTCGTCAGGGTAGAATGCAGAATAGCGTGAGAATAGCACCAGGGCTTAAAGCAGCAGATAGCGCGATCAGGAACGTCAGTCAAGGGCGTGCTTATTCGACGGGCGAAACTCTATGCGGTTGGGATGGACCCAAGGATTTCGAAAGCGCTGGAGTGACGAAATAATGGGAACCAGAGCGAGAATGATGGCGTGAGGTCTAGCCCCGAATGCCCAGCTTGCTACTGCTTGTCGCCACGCCCCGTCGCTCCTGCTGGGGTGCTGGAGGGGAGCAAGAGCTGTGCGAAGTTTGGTAATGGCAGGAAGGTAAACTATTATTGGGTTTCGTTCTTCCGTTTCTCCCTCCACAGATGTCAAAGCAAGTCGGGAACTGTAAAAGCACCAAAGTTTGTTAGAAAGCAGGGAACTACGGGTGCCAAAAAGGTAATGAATAAGCAGACTCCCAAATAGATAGATGGATAGATGGATGGATGGATAGGGGTGTGGAGATTCAAAACATCGCACAGCACAACAAGCCTGGCAGCGGGGATAAATAAATCAGGGAAAATAGCAGAAGAACGAACGGAACAGCGAGGGCTCGATGACAAAATAATAATGGAAAAAAAGCAGCTGTCAACTCTAGCCTCGGGCCCCCTCCCTTTTGGAAAGTGAAGAATCAAGAAATCCAAATCAATGGTTTTGCTCATTCCTGCTTCTGGTCTCAATTGGCAGCTGCCATTCTGCTGGCGCGTTGTGGGGTTCTCTTCCGCTCCTCGACCTTCAATCTGTCTTGTCGTGTCTGCGCTCTTTTCTTTTTTTGTTAATTCTCGCTTTGCCCAATCACTGCCGCGAGATAAAAACGGTGATCATTCTGTTAAATTTTTTTTTTTTTTTTTTTTTTTTTTTTTTTTTTTTTCGTTTCCTGGTCTCCTGTTGATTTATCCAATTATTATTGTTGTGATTTTTATTTTTCCCCTTTTAGACGCCCTGTTTTTTGCTTTCTGCTTCTCTTTTCTTTCGCTCCTTCCTCTTGCTTCTTTGTTTATTTTTATTTATTTATTTTTTTCGTTTTCGTTTTTGGCAATGGGACTTCCTTTACAGTGGCGGGAAAGAACGGCACACTGCGTGGGGTCCGCCAGAGTCGTGGGGACGGAGGTGATCACTAGTCGATACAAGGGCCAAGCTGCTAGCAGCAAGCTCAGCATCGAGCAGCAGTTGAGAGTATCAGCATCCAGCTAGCATAGCAGCAGTGCAGGTCGGATGCAGTAGTATGATGCAGCATACACATGCAGCTGGTCTTTCCAGGAGGACCAGCATGCGCTGACGACATTGATTACTGGGTGACGGGAAAAAACAAATGGTTTGTTGGCGTATTTTGCTCGTTTTGGTGCTTGGTCTCAAGCAAAAAAAAAAAACCAAAAAAACCAAACCAACCCGGGCACGGTGAAGTGATAATAATGTAAGACACCAACGAAAAGGGGAGCTGTGCGTGGGTGTTTTGGCGTGGAGTGCGTGGGTTTACAGCTGCTCGCTGCAGAACCGTGGTGGCTTGTCTGGTGCCTAGCGCAGTGGAGCAGGCTGCGCAATGAGTGGCGCTGAATCTGTAGCCGTAAAGCCCGCTAGTGCGTGTCCAGATGCCCACAAGGCGCACCTCTAGACAGATGCAACCCAATAGGGCCCAGCGCCGGAAGAGCGGGGATCGCATTTAGGCAGCACGCTTTGCCGGAGGGGGCTAAGAGCTAGGGCTAGGGCTTGGGTCGACCAGGACCGGGACCCAGAGAAACCACCAGAGACAACCACAGCACGGCTTGGTCTCAGACTTGATTGGATTTTTGCCGTGGGCCGATAAGGACTCGGGGGCGACGCCGCAACTCCAGGCCGCAGTTCTGGGTGGTCGGTAAATAATCCGTCACAGACTCTCTGTTGTTGGGAGGGAGAGCGATGGGTAGTGGCTTCAGCACGAGAAAAGCCCAAAAGGCTAGCGAATGGTCTCCAGGGGCCCACTCCATAGGTCATCCATTGATATCCCAGGAAAAGTCGTAGCCTGTGCAGGTGAAACACGCGAATCACAGTCGGATGGATTGTCCAGATCTGTTTGAAAAAGAAAACATGGAATCTTCTCCAAAGCAATACAAAAAACGTCTTTCCACGCACCCCCAGTTTGGCCATTTTCCCGAGCAAGGAAAAAATTGTGTCAAAAAGGCAGTAAGAATAAGCGTGGTTTGGCACCTTTCTTTGCTTTTTTTTTTTTTTTTGCAGGGGCAGACGAGGCAAAAAAACAAGGTATGTAACACAGGAACAGGAACGGGGTCTGTGTAACAGAATGACAGGTCTCGAAAAAAATTAAAAATTAAAAATAAATAAAAGAAGAAAGACCAAAAAGAAAGCAAAGACAATTGAAACTCGAGTCCGACATCATGGTAGCAAGTATCGACAACCGATGCAAGGGCATGAAACTCTTAGAAACAGGGTGGAGAAACAAACCTACTTACTTTGAAAACAAGCTAAAACCACCCCGCGGATCACAAATAAAATAAAATATAAAAATTTCAAAAAAGAAACTCTCAAATTAAATAAAGTGCTGGAGCTCTTCTCCTTTGGCGCAAGGTCGATCACTAACCGCGAAAGTTTTTTCGAAAAGGTGTGATCGTTCGAAGCTGTTCACGCTTGTTATGTAGGTTGAGAATGTGGACTGGTGCTGCAGTACCGAAAAAAAAAAAGTCAACCCTCTTGTCAAGAAGAAGAATAATGCCCGATGGAGACCGGCAAAAACAAGGTTGGCTCCGAGGATCTGGGATGGTGTGACTAGGAGTCTTGGAGTCTATCCGGGCAAGAAAATCATGAAATCCACGTGGAGGGGTGCCAGATTAAATTGTATGTGTTCAAACGTACCAATGCGGAATCTGAATGATTCTGAGAAGAAACAGACAGACAGACAGACAGACAATGAGGCTTCGGGAATCTCGGGAGCGTATATAAATATATCGCTGGGCAGAGGAACAACGTGAAGGTATTTCTAGGACGAGAAGGTGGTGGTGAACTGTCGGACTCGCAAGTCCCACTTGGCAGTTCGATTTGGGCTGTCCTATGTATGTAGCTTTTTGCCGATCAACGAATAACACCTTTTCGCGAGCTTCTGTGGGGGCCAGCAAGTTAAAAAAGCCAAGTCGAAATAATAGCGTATTTTTGTTTTCTTAAAATATAAAAAAGGGTTGAGCTGAGTGAAGGAAGGTTGGGGGATAACAGGAGACCTTGACAATCACAGCCCCAAAAGCAACTGGAGCAATGGTAATATATATATATATATAAGCCGGCAGAAGCCTCCTGCAGCTGTTGATTGAGCGAATCTCTGCTGCTGGGAAAGACCCTTTTCGGCTCTCCCCTACTCCCGCTATTTGTCAGGCTTAGAATAGAATCTCTTTTTTTTTCCCGCTTGGTCGTATTTTTCTCTCTCACTCTCCCTCTCTCCCTTCTAACACGCCTTGGCAGTCAACAGGCCTGCAATATCAAATCAAATAAAGACGCTCCGTGTTTTGGGGGCCGAAAAAGCGCACGGAAAGAAACAGAGTAAACAAAAGCGATAATCGGCAGCAAAGAAAACGTTAAAAAGAAACAAAAAGGGCAGAACGCTGGGAATCACGTACCTTTCCCGTTGCGGATAGGTGAATAGAGTATCTTCAGGATAGCATCTTCCCGCAGCCACTCTACCAGTTCTTCCCAGGGCGGAAGTAGGGAGAGGTCTCCGTGTATATCATTCGCGATGTGCAGCTGCCAGTCCGGACTCCTGATTCGCTGATAATGGTAAAGCAGGTCCCAGCAAAAGGGAAAAGGCCAAGCGCAATCGCCTCAGCCCGTTCAAACAGGGGGGAGGGAAAGTATTTAAAAAAAAAAAAAAAAAAAAAAAAAAAAAAAAAAAAAAAAAAGCAAAGAAAAGAAATCAACGAAAAACGAGCACGCAAGTATAAGAAAGTTTAAGCTATCGTTAGTTATCAGCAATAACAATAAATGCAGGGCTGTTTAGCCTGTAGCAGAAGCCGCACAGGGATAAGCACCAAAAATATCGAAACTAAAATAAAAATGGGGAAAAAAGAGAATGATCACCCCCTAGGGGCATCCAGGGGACCCTTCGTTTGCCTTGCCCTGTCTTTGTTTTTTCTTTTCTTTTCTTTTCTTTTTTTTTTTTTTTTTTTTGGCACCCCGGAGTCTCGAAATGGTGGCTTTTCTTCACATTTATCCTTGGCCCCGTTCAAGGGAAAGATCGCAGCGTATGAGAGCCAGAAACGAAAACTTGACTGCCAATTGCAAACTGAGATACAAAGAGGGCGCGGGCTTTTACGCGGGAAAGCAAACAGGCTGCGGTTGTAGTAAAAAGAAACAATGTTGTTTGTGCTTTGCTGGAGGCCCCACTCCCCGGGTATTTCAAGAGCCCAAGGTTGGCAAACTATCAAGTAGTTATCAAGCATCAGTACGGAGAGAGGAGGTACCCGTCCGTAGACGAGAGATGGGGTTGGTGGGGATCAAGCAACAATGACTGCGGCCGTCAAGTGCGGCAACGCAAACCAGATACATCATCATCACCCTTGCTTCCGGGAGGAGAAGCGAGACGACGAGTCGATAGGATAGATACCCTAAGACCACAAGAGGGGGGCTTGAGCGGAGGGCCTTTTCCTTCTCGGTAGCTCTGCATGCCTTGTAGCGGAATGGCCCGCATGATGGCCCGCATGGACAGACAGACGTATACGGAGTGTATGTATGTATCGGTGTGGGGATGTGCAGCTCCTCGTGTCCACCTTATTCGTTTTCTTCCCTCTCTGCATTCTGTCATCAGCGATGTCGTCTGCCGGCGGATTCCTATCGCCCATCCCTGTGCCGTGTGCGTTGTACGGTGGTGATGGGCTGTGGAAGCAAGGGTGTATTCGGGTTGAGGTGTTGTCCAGATTAAAACATGCTTGGTTCGTTTTCGCTTTGTTTTGATGTTGACTGCACCGTTCCTGGACGTTTAAACTAACTACTTTATTTCTTTATTTCTTTATTTCTTTATTTATTCCCTTGAAACGGTATTATCATCCGAGCACCGAGATAAGAACTGCTTCTTCTTAAGGTACTCTACATACATACATAGTAGTATTAGCCTTTGGTATAAGATCAAGTCCTCCGCTCTGTCCAGCTCATCGGAAGGTTTGCAAAATAGTTAGCCTTCAGCATGAGATCTCCTCATCATCAGCAAGGCACCAGGATCGACGACCAGTAAACCTAAATCAACCTGAGCCAGGCACGCAGGGATTGAGCTTCGTTGACGCCGCCGCTAAATTAGATCGAGCATAGTGGCAACATTCAACAATTACTGCAGCAGGCTCAGTTGTTCTCGCTACGTATGGGATCATGGCCTGTCGATCCGCGTGGCTAGCCTGCTTGTCTTTGGATAACTAGTATATATATCTATGGCATCAGACAAAAACCCGCAACCAAGAACACAAACAGATCCCTTCTATGTTGACCCGCGACAGAGAGAAGCGGGGAAAACCAAAAAAAAAAAAAAAAAAAAAAAAAAAAAAAAACAGATCAAAGATCAGAACAAGACAAAAATAATGGCCTGTGCTTGCATCGAATCACAACGCAGGGGGCGTTGCAAGCTACGGTTTACTTTCCACTGCGTATGTGGTTTAGTTAGTTAGTTAGTTAGGTAGGTAGGTAGTTAGGAGTGATGACATCTCGTTAACTTGTGTACTGCACATGCGTTATTCTGCATGTGCCCAGCCAGCATGCACGATGGCGCTTGGATACTAGTACTGCAGATGAGGCGAGCTGAATACGGCGAACAATTGCTCTGATAGGCGAGTCTCCTTTTGTCGAAATATCGGTTGGGTCGACATGCGGTCGATACATGAATATACGCAGTAGTAGTCTACGGACTTTCGACTTGCGGAGTCTCTGTCTGTATTTCTGTCTGTATGTCGCCGGAAGAAGCTGATAACTGGCGAGTGGGCTGGCTGGGTGTGGTTTTGATAGATTCAATGTGTAGGTGGTAGGTGGTGCTTTTGTTCGTTTCTCGTCTTGTCTGTCCTTTTTGACGACGATTGGAGGTTCCTTTGCTTGGGTTGGATGGTGGATCATTGGCTCCACTCTTCTCTCCTGGATACATACATACACCCTTACCGGCATACGTCCGTGGGTTAAGTTTGCTCGTCCTATGTGTATAAAAATCTGCGCATAACAAGGCCTTGCGGCAACTCCAGATAAGCACCAGAGCCTGACGAAATCGGTCTCCACACGGCCGGATTTACGGGGCTGTGTCCACCGAATCAACTGCGTAGCAGCCAAACCTTAGGCATCGAGCTCCTAAACTCTACAACCCCCTCCCCCATTCTTTTGCTTCAGGGAGTGGGATGGATGAGTGGGGTTGGGGGGAACGCTGTCGTAGAAGCCTCTAGGGAGCTCCAAAGAGTTCATCAGGATCTGACTTTCATCTTTCATTCCAGCATCCACGGATTGGCCAGCCACAAACGACGGTTGAAGAAAGAGGCTAGCAGAGTGTTTAAAAAAAAAAAAAAAAGAAAAAGAAAAAAGAAAGGAAAGGAAAGAAAAGGTGAGTATCCACTCATCCGTTCGGCATGGATGGAACAAGCGAGGATATTGAGTCGATCGGATCAGTGGCGATCGTCGTCGTCGTCGGATATTCACCCACGCCGACACAAAGCTGCAATCAAGAACGAGTCTGAACGAACAAGAACGCTGATTGTGCACGCAGCGTGTGTCTACATTACCGAGCACTCTGATTTTTACCAAGCCTCGCTTATTTCGTTTTTGAGAAACGATCAGTTGGCTCTTATATCGTATTCCCCCGGTTTATATGTGTATATATGTGTATATATATATATATATGTTTTTATCGTCTTCCGATGCCCATTGCCAGATGGAGAGGTAATATGGCTGGCTATGTTATAGATAATTTCTTTCTTCGGATAATTATGTATATTCAGGTATCCTTCGAGCGTTGGATAAGAATTATATGAGCCGTTACTCCGTACTCCGTACTGTCCTTACCAACCCATCCCTGTTCCTTTTGGAAAAAGGGAAAAAGAAAAAAAGAAACTACGCACACATAGCGCTCCCCGAGAGAAATGGGCTGGATCTCGAGACAGTTTTCAACACGCTGCTTATATGTCCGAAGCAAGCAAGGGGCTTGCATGGGGACAACAGCTGTCCGTATTATTATTAGAGGGAAGCCTGCAAAATGGTGGTGTGTCCCATAAAAGGAAAATGGTTTGAAAAAAAACGAAAAGGGAAATAAACAAAAGGTGGGGAGGAAACCCTATATACTTGTTAGTATGAAAAGCGGTGAGTTTTCCGGAAGTGAATTCAATCTTACCTTTGCTTTTCAATCTCAATTCCCACATTTTGGTGTTTAAGGGTAACTTCTGCGGGAGCAAGAAAGGCCCGTCTTCTTAACTCCAACATGATTTCCACTAAGGGGAAGGACAACCTAAATACGCCCCAGGATTATCAGATCTTAACCCTCTTTTTTAATTTTTAATTTTATTTTTTGCTTGCCTCGCCTACCCTGACTTTACGCTTAATTCTTAAAATCTGTGATTCCCGCTCCCCGGGCTGAGCCTAAAGTAGATATAATTTGAGCAGGGGCCCCACCGAAAAATTTAATCGGACAACAGAACAGCGCGGTGGCGGGAACAGAAGAACAAAAAGGGTTCTGATCTCACTCCAGCCTATGCTGTGAACATCCATTGCTCCAGCCTGCCTCGAGTGCTGCGTTTTGCCACACACACTATGCTGAATTTGCGGTGCTAAGACGGCCAGAGTACTCGCTTGACCACCCAAGAGAGGGTTTTACATAGGTTCTTGTTGATTTATTTGTTTATTTATTCTTTCAAACACGCACACACATATAATTCGTGGTAACCGTCTTGGCGCAACAAATGGAACTCATAGGAGCGCAGGTTGCTGAAACAAGGGGCACGCAAATGAGCAGGAAATCTACTCCTTACGTGGTAACGCAGCACCGCTACCCCGGTAGACTTTTCGTGCCACTCCTGCATCGCGTATCAACGGAGGAACGGGCGACCAGAAGGGAAATTGAACGAACAATAGCAAATTATATATGACGTCGAGAGGATGGTCCATCCATGCGCACGAGTTCCATGTTTCTCGACCAGAGGATAACCAAAGGAGTTCTCCTGTTTCGCCACTTGTTGTTTGAGAGGTTAGACCGGCCATTTGTTGACGGTGAGACGTGAGCCCTTTTTTTTTTTTTTTTAAGTAACTGGAGAAACGGAAACTCTGGTATGGTAAACTGGCATCTTTGCGCGATAAACAAACCCTTGCTCTCCCCCCTCTCAGATCTCGGGATAGAAAAGCGGCATGTGGATTGGATTGGGGGGATTTGGAAGGAGTTTGTGTTTTGAGTTTGCGGTACTGGGTAGCGGGAGAGTTTATTTTTAATATCCCCCGTGCTGCTTTTAACGATCCATTCCGCAATGCACTGTGCAGATGTTGTGCCCGCGATACAGGCCAAAGCTTCCTCTCGGGAATGGAGGCTCCCTTGCAGGCGCCGATGCACCAGCAGGACAATCTCCGTCTAAGGTCCCGAGAGGGCTATCCACGATTGTATCTCGACACACCAGCGGCCAAGAGATTCGCGTTTGGGTTGGCGGTAATGATTTGCAACAGACCGGTCCGCTGGACATCCGCTGGACATCCGCTGGACATCCGCTGTGGACAAGGCTGCCCACGAGAGAATCTGCGTCCGATCCCCCTTGGTGGTTGACAACAGCCTCAACAAGGCAGCTCCAGGCAGCTCCAGACAGCTCTCTCCACGCTGACAGCTCGCAGACGCAGGAACCAAAGTTTCCGCTCCCACGTCACCTGACCATGGATGACGATTTGATCCCGCGCTAAACCGAGACCGGGGCCATAGGCGCACGGCGGGCGCGCTAAATGCCACGCGGGCTGGATGCTACCCGGCCAAACGACAGCTCGGTGATGTCACCGTCGTGACCAGCGGTATCAGCGGTATCAGCATGCAGCTAACGAGACGCTTCCTGCCGCTAGGGTGCCCGCGCATGAGACAGGAGACATCTTTCCGAACTCTGGAGCGGAGGAGAGACATTGTTCCAAGTCCCATGGCAAACAAGATGCATGATTACTCGTACGGTACGATACATGTCCAATGTCTATGTCCAGGGAATGACCCCGGGGCTGCATCTCTCAGGAATTCTCATCCGCTGCACAGAGAGTACAGATAGTAACATTCGCAACTCATGGCTCGCAGCAGCACCAACTACGGCGTAACTGACTGAACCGAGCACTGTCGTCCAAACTGCGTAGCCGATGCACGGACACCAAATGACCACCAAGGAAGTAAAAAGCTAGCGAATGCAGCCGGCTTGCGCCAGTGAACGCCAGTTGATGCCGATTGATCCAATCCAAGTGTGAACAAGCCTGCCCCCCCCCGCCAGTAAAATCGCATTGTATTTGTCGAACTAGTTATCGAAAACCGTTATTTATGATTTCCCCCCGATTCCTCTTAGCACTCAGACTACTCCGTCCTCAACCCGATATCTCGGTCGATCTATCCACATCGCGTAATTTTGCATGAACATCCCCCCCATATCTGCATGGCGGTGGGGTCTTGACTTTTATCAACTCGGCAAGTTTAAAAGACAACAAATCATTGCAAGCGCGGACTGTGACGAGGGCCGAGTCTGCAGGTCGGTTCGGTCTGCGGAGCTCCTCCAGTGCTGGCACTGTGCTGCACATACAGTTTGCACATCCATTACGACGAACTGCCGAGAAGAAGCAACGGAGAAGTCTTTCCGTATGGATATCGGCGCCTGATTTGAATAATAAATAAATAAATAAATAAATAACAATAATGATGATAAGAAATAAATAAAAATAAAAAAATATAAAAAATACAAAGCTCCTAGGAACAATCAGGGCTAGCTGCAACAAGTAGCTCCCCATCCCATCCTGAACTGCGCAACGACGCGGTGAGAAGCCACAAAAACGGGCACGCACCGCATGACGCAGCATCACTTTGAACAAATAATCTGTTGCCGGCTTGCTTTTCTTTCCAAGAGTGATGCAGGGGCTAGCCTGCCTTCTGCCCTGCCTTGCCTTGCCTTGCCTCGCTTTGCTTTGCCGTTGCTGTTGCTTTTGCTTTGGTGACGACGAATTTTGAAACTCCATGGATTGGAGATTGTGGGAAAAAAAAAAAAAAAAAAAAATAAGAATTACTCTTTCGTCGCTTGTATCCTGCCCAACTCCCGAGAAGAGCTACTATGTATATGTCGAGAAAGGTCTTCCTCAAGCCCCCCCTTCCCCCTTTCCCCCCTTTCTACTGCTGTTTTGTGCGGAAGGGACTCGTGTCAGCCAAATTTTTTGGGGTCAAAATTTTGAACGAGCAGAGACGACACAGACACAGTCTTGCCAACAATATCTCGGTTCATCCTTAAATCTGAAAAAAACATCCCATCAATGAAAGCTTCGGGCTTCGAATGTTTCCAAAAGCTGGCTTAACTGATTTGTGTTATTTTTACCAGGTCTGAGTGGGTTTGGGCTATGGAGTTAAAAAAAAAAGTGCAATAATAAATAAAAATACAATCTCTTGCCCAAAAATTCCCCGAGCCATACGGTCCCCACAACGCCATAACTAGTTACTACGTCTCTGGGCTTCAACTGGCCCGTCATGTCAATAACTAGTGGATGATATGATAAAATAAATAATAGTTCCCCCGAACCCTTTTTCCGGGTGGGGGATGAACTCTAAAACTAGTGCCCACGTTTATTTCGAACTCATGTCCTCCCTCCATGTCTACTTGTATGCAGGTACAGACAGGATCAACAACAGCAAGTTCTCAGTATCGATGTTATCCCAATTCCAAGGGGATAGCGGGCTACCTGGCTACCTGGCTCCCTGGGAACACGTAGGGTATCGCTATCGCTCCGGTACCCGTGCCCTCTTTTTTATAATAGAGAAGTATTTCGTTCAATTGCTAATGCTCAAAACGTAAGAATGGAGTTTGTTCAGAGTAGCATTCCTTTTTTTTTTTTTTTTTTTTTTTTTTTTTTTTTTTTAAGAAAGTGTTGAAAGGAGGCAAACTCCCGGCCCGGGCTGGACGGGAGAAGATTCCTCTCCTCCCCAATACAACAACAGGGCTGCAGAGGGCTGCAGGGACACTTCCAAGATGGGAGAGGCCGCCTTTGGGAGGGGGGGGGGGGGGTTGGCTCTGAGCTCTAAAAATATCAAGAAGGGTCATAGGCGCTTGAATGGAGTGAAATGGAGGCTGCATCAAAACTCTATTCTTGACAAGGGAGGAAGATTAAAAAAAAAAATCTCTCCGAACACTGCGTGTATGGGTTAGTTCATTTTTACTTTTGTTATCGTCCAAATTCCAAAAGCTCGCCGAGCTCCTGGTTCTATCTACTGCGTATGCTTCTCGCTTCTGCAAACGAAAATGCTTCGAAATATCCATGCTTTCGGGGATGCGGGAGATATATTTCTGTCTATTCCGTACTTAGTAGTTGCTGCTCCTCCCTGTCCTGATCTCGAGTCATATTTTCTCGGGAGACTTAGGCAGGAAGATGAGGTGATTATGACTCCGGTGCATTCTTTTCTGTCCATGTTGGCTAACGCATTGCGGAACACGGTTCGATGATGATGATGAAGGGCGAAAGGAAGATAGGAATCAACGACTATGATGACATGAGAGCGCACGGGGGGGTGAGTAGTGACGAAATCGAAAAATCTGGCATACAAGAGTTTACGGGACAAGGAAAAGAATACTCCGTAAGCCAAAGGGATTGGTTTATTATTTGACTGCTTCGATTAATCGTTCCAACCCAACTCTCCTGCAGACTCGATCTCTCAATTGACTTTCTGCCGATCGCCGACCGGTTGCCGAAATCCTTGCCACTGTTCTTTTTGCCTGCCTTTATTTTGTTTTGCCCTAGTGCTTACGGAGTACGGGGTATCGGATATTTGGGGGCGAGCGACATGTAGCCTCCAAGCTCCTGGATCCCCTTCCATCCCGATCAAATCTTAAATGGGCTCAGGCACTCGCTCTGACAACACTTGGGGTCCAATGTTGGTCTCGGGTGAGGTTTCAGTGTGGATGGAAGGAAGGCTTCTTTCTGGGTTTCTTATTCCGTTGCCATTTGTCCGGGATGCCTTCCGATGTTCTCTGTACGGAGTAGTCAGGGAGACAGACGGCCTTTTGATACAATCCAGCTACTACAAGGGCCCTTACCCTTGAGCCAATGTTAAATGAACAATTGCTGCACCCTGGTTCTTCACCGAAGACCCTGGGCTTTGTTCTCCGTTCCGTAGTCGGCAACATTTGCGAGATTGATTCAGCACGCACCGATAAGAAATTTCCACACCTTCAATGATTACTATTGCCCTGTAACTATTTCTCATTGTTGTTCTCCACCAGCCAAGTTGGCCAGTTGGGAGATTTCAATGACCTCATTAGCGCGGGCAGATGGATTCTAGACCGTATCCACCGGCACCGGTACAGATCCGTCGCCATCTACTCATCGACGATGACGAGGAATCAGTTCTAGCATGTGTTTGTGCCTCTGTGGCAAGAATACTACAGCTGATACAAGTGGTTTGTTAATCGATCCGGCGTTTGCAAAGATGCATAGTATCCGTCCTCGCTTTGCTCCGCCTCACAAAAACATGGCGGTGACGGCGACTAGAAAAGCGGGCTTCCATGTAAGATCCCGGGGGACCGTCAAAGAGAGTAAACAGAGCAAAAATGTCGATGCTTCGAGAAGGTTAACCGTATGGGGCAGGTGGGGGTTGGGCGTCATTGAACAGAGATCTCATTGCCGCACGGATTAGATTCGGTTCCGATGTCCTTCGACTGACAACTGCCCCCAAGCGCCAAACAAACACCACCGACGACACTCCACCTCGTCCACAGTGTGAGGCCTTCAGATAGGCAATTCGGCATTACAGGTATATGGAAAAAGCGTTGGTTGACAGGAAACGCCACAAAGCCACCATTTTCTTGCCATCGAAGTTTTGACTGGGGAATTTATTAGGGAAAAAAAAAAAAAAAAAAAAAAAAAAAAAAAAAAAAAAAATTCCAGTTTCCGTTTTCGGAAATCGTTTTCTATCTCGATAACCCCCTTGGACGCAGCGGATCTTTTTTTTCTTTCTTTTTCTTTTTTCTCTCTTTATTCCTTGTTCTCGACGAACGGATATCTTTTGCCAGACGGCCAAACTCCCCAAAATTTACTTATATCCTCTTCAGACCTTTCCAGGCCATCGCAGCCCTTTTTGCAGGCCTGGGGTAGAAAGGCATGGACGAATACTGGCTTATTTGTGAAACTCCAGCTTTTCTGTGGTGCCAAAAATAGCCCTGGTATGGCCACCCCCCCATAAAATGTTAAAACCACCACTGAGCATGGCCCGTCTTTTGTTCAGTGTTTCGAAGTACTGCAGGGATCTCGACCATGGAAGGCAGATCTAGATGTATCGGGCCTGATCAAGGTTGTTTTTGTAAGAGTGGGGCGCACTCTTACATGCAAAAGCAGGATGATCACAGCGGAGGAGTACAGACTACCCATACATAGTTCGTCTGTCTGTCTGTCTGCCTTGGATTTGAATCTGGGTTGACATGAATAGCGTTTCATACTTGATTTTTCCCCTTTTTGTTTTGCTGTCGACAATGGCGTGCGTTTGTTTCTGAATCAAGACGGACTGGCGGGTGCTTCTCAAGGCTGGCCCCTCAAAAGGAC